TTATCTTCTAACCATTTTCTATATCTCATAATTTTTCTGCTGTTATTTTCATCTTCAGATTTAATATTTCTTCCAAAGTAATCAGTGATATTTATCAAACGATAAGAATAATTATCATCAAGTATCATTTTATTCATGATTTTAGCATTTGAATCGCAATACATCATTAATTTTTCAAATTTCAAAAATTTTGAATTTATATTTGTATTCTTGTCTTCGAGAGCGGATAAAGTTTTTTCTAAATATTCGACTTGCATTTTTTTCAATTTAATTTTTTTTTGTTTAATATAAAGAATGAAAAAAAAATTGATATTTTTATAAGAAATATTATTTAGAAATTTAATTAATAATCAAAAATATTTATTTGTTCATTTTTATTTAAATTATAAATCAAATCTTATATTTATTTTTCTTTTCACAAAGTTATAAATAAGATTGAATTATTAGTTATTAAAAAAAAATGATTTTTTCACCTGATATATTTTATATAATATTCGAAAATTATATTTTTGATAATTGTAATGATTTAAAGAATATAATTTTAACTTGTAAATTTTTTAATCATATGATTAAAAATTTAATAGTAAATATTGAAATTACAACTCTAAATAATCCAGAAAAATATCTATTAAATATCAATGATAAAATATCAAAAATAAATTTTTATAGAAGAGAATTTATTATTAATTTTTTCAAATCTTATCTTTACAAAAAAATTGAATTTGTTAAAATCCAAAAAAATAAATTTTATTATATAATCCCACGAAAAATATTTTATAAAAATTATTTTAAATTTATATATGTAGTGAATTATAAAAAGTCATATATAGTAAATTTTATAACAAAAAAAGAATATAAATTAGAAGATCCAATAAAATCTTTAATCAAATTTTCAAAACTTGGTAAATTTATAAAATTAAGATATAATTTATATTTAATAGATGATAATATTTTAAAAAAGATAATTTTATTAAAATATTTAAAAGATAAAAATATCAAACTTAAATACATGTATCAAAATTTAATTAATTATAGTTTTCAAATGGAAAAATATGCTGATAAAATATCAATTTAAAACAAAATAAAAACAATTATAACAATATTTATATTTAAAAATAAATACCAAAATAAAGAAAAAAAAATAAAAAATTATTCGATAATTTTTATTTCAAAAATGAGTTTAAATCCTAATCAAGAAAATGAACTTGTTAATAAATTTATAAGAATTTTAGAAGCAGAATATAAGATCAATGGTCCTAAACATCCAAATTATGAACGTACGAATGGAATAAACCATTTAAAAAGTTATATCAGAAGTCCTCCTTATAGACAAACATTTTATAATTATTTATATTATCTTCGAAAATTTATAAGCTTAAACAATATTCATAATGTTTGTAATGCTACACTTCTTAGATTTGATAATGATGTTAATTATTATAAGACATTAAACATAAATGCAGCTGCTGTGGCTGCTGCAAATGCTGCAAGAATTAAAAAATTAGAACAAGAGAGAATCCAAAAATTACAACAAGAAAAATTAGAAAAAGAAAAACTAGAAAAAGAAAAACTAGAAGAAGAAGAAAAAATCAAAAAACTAGAACAAGAAAAACATGAAGAAGAAAAAAAACTTGAAAGATTGGAAAAGGAAAAAATCCTTGAAAAGGAAAAGATCAAGAAATTAGATGAATTGATGAAACTAGGAAAAGATGAAATAATCAAAAGATTGAAGGAAGAAAGATTAAAAGAAATAGAAAAAATAAAAATAATCGAATCAGAAATATCAAAAGAAGAAGAAAAAATATCTTATAAAATAAACGAAGAGATAGAAGAGAAAAAGGAAATTGAAAAATTAGATGAATTGATAAATAAAGAACAAAAACGAATTGAAAAGATAGAAAAAGAAATATTAAAAGAAGAAAATAACAAGATATTAGAAAATGAAAAAAGAATCAAAGAATTAGAACAAGAATCCATTGTTTTTCATTCATCTATTGATGAAATTTTGATAAATCTAGATATTAATTTTTCAAATGAACTAATCGAAAAAAAATTGAATTATATCATCCAATATACTGAACATTTTAAAAAATTTTAAATATTTTATCTTATTAAGAATATCTATATAAATATTGAAAAAATTCGCTTATAAATTATTTTTAATTAATTAATTAATTATCATGGGTAATTCCGTTAGTTGTATTATCGAAATACATAATAAAACACATGTATATTATTTAAGACCACGTGTAAATTATTTTGAATGGGGAAGAATGAAATATGAAACAGAAGAAAATAGTAACTCAATAAACCCAAATCAAACAGCGATCAAAGCTGTTCAAGGTAGAACAGATAGCTCATCTGGAGTAAAAGGTTATTTTAATTTCGATGTTGTACGCCAATATGACAATGTTGAAATAGGTCGGATAAAATTATTTTTTGATGTTCCATATGATACAATCAGATATTCAAGATCTACAAACTTTGAAATAAATAATTATGATGATACTACTATCACAATTGAAAAAGTTGTAGAATGGGGGACAAATGGATATTCAGAAAATAAATGTAAATTTATCATAACCTACAATACTCCAAAAGATTTAGTTGATACAAGTCTATATTCTCTTAATTGTATTTTTGAAATATATAATAGATCAGATGAAATTTTATTAAAATCAAATAAAAATTACGTTAAACGTGGAGAATTGATATATGAAAATAAAGAAGATCAATATATTGGTTCAAATGAAGTATTGAATAAAAAGGTTCAAGGTAGATTTGATAGTATTTCTGGAATAGAAGGTTATTTTGATTTAGATGTTTTACGACATAGTGATAATGTTGAAATAGGTCAGATAAAATTAACCTTTAAGATTCCATATGATACAAATAGAGATTTGAGATCTACAGACTTTCAAATAAATGATTATGGTAGAATTACAAATATTGAAAATGATAAAAATCTTAATAAAAATTTTACCATCAATGTTAATAAACATGAACAATGGGGTGGATACGGATATACTGGAAAAAATTTTTGTCAATTTATCATAACCTATAAACCAAATAATCCAATCAAAACAAAATCAAATATTTTAATTAAATCAAAATCAAAAAAAACTCGAAATTATTAAAAGGTTTTTTATTCAATTCAAAGTTATAAAAATATTATTGTAATTTTTTTTATTATTTTTTAAATTATAAATAAAATAAAAGATATATTAAATAAATGATAATAATAATTAAAATATCACGAAATTATAATAATTGCTTACCAATTAAAATTTTAATCAGTTGGAAAATCAAAAGAAATAATTCTTTGTTCTTAATTTAACATATTATTGTTACGCAAATCAAGTTTATGCATTTATTTGTTTACGTGCATGATAATTATAAATAATAAAAAAAAAGATGATCTTTTTTTTCAAATAACGAAAACATTTTCTCAAAGGTCATTATTTATTTATTTTTTTTTTCAAGATATATCTTTAAAAAAATGATTAAAAATAATTCTAGATAAGTCTTTAGCTCCAACTCTAACTACTTTGATGATAATGTTATCAAGTTAGTCATTTAAAATCTTCTCAACCTCTTATCATCACTTAGTTCTCAACTAGTTTAACTAGTTTTTTCTTTGCCGGCTTCTTTCGCTTTAGACTTATGATTTTTTATTTTTATATTTTTAATTTAATACTTTTTTAAAATATACACTAACTATTTTTTTTATTATAAGTTAATAGAAAAAAATGTCTAATATCGTTGATGATATCGATTCTGTAATTGAACAAAACAACAATTTACAAAGCTCTTTAATCCAAATACGTAAAAAAATTAATGAAACAAAAACTAATAAAGTCAAATCTAAACAAACCCTTGAAGATATTATCGAGAAAACAAAACAAACAACTACTAAAAATGATCAGAACAGTTTAGATATCGAAAGATTAAGTATTAGTATCAAAGGATGGAAATCTAGTCTTTCACTTTATGAAAACATTAAAAATCTCCATAATGAATTAGAAGATTATAAAGATAAATACTATAAACTCAACACTAAATATAATAACTTAGTTCATAATGAATAATTTCTCATATTGTATTTTTTTTTATTATCATTCTATAATAAATTTTTATAATCTTTTTATTTTTTTTATCTTAATAATTTAATGTGATACATATCACGTTATAAAGTTTTATTAAATTATCAACAATTATGAGATAAATTATGACAATGAAATTTGTTTAAAGATTCACAAAAATCATTAGTATTATCTTTGATTCTATATTATATCTAATCGTAATTTCTTTTAAATTTTTGATTTTTTGTGGAAATTCTAAAATTTATATTTTATCCGAAGGGGTTTTATTCCGTTAAATAGAATATTCTAAAGAAAACCTTGATTTGGAAAATTAAACAAAGTAGAGAAAATATATAATTCAATATTTTTTTTCTGTAAGTAAAGCATCAAATCTGAAAATACAAAAAAAAATGAATCAATACATTATTCCAAATTATCATACTTATTGCAATTATTTAACAGAAAATCCTCAAGGTAATCTATCAAAGAAACCTCGTTATTATGTAAAATTAGCATGTACCAATTGTCGAATTAAAAAAGAGAGATGTTCAGGTGAAGAAAGATGTATGAATTGTAAACGACATAATCGTAAATGTGAATATATCAAATCAACCAAGAAAAGGGGTCCTAAACCTAAACCCGTCACTACTCCTGCGATAGCAAATTTGTTAAACCCAACTATTTAATTCATATAATACATTATGAACAATTTTTAATTATTTATTAATTTATTTTTAAACATTATTAATATGAATATTATATAAACTTAAATTTTTTTATGTACTAAATAAAATACAATGTTGAATGAATTACAACAATATCATTTCTAACATATAAGAAAAAAAAATATTTGTTTTATTTGATATGTTTCTAAAAAAATATGTATACATTCAGTACTATTCTTATGGAGTAAAGAATTTTGTTATATTGAAAAATTTAAAATATTAAAATTAAAGATGTATCCTAATAAGTATATAAATATATAAATATCATGATGGTATTTCACCACTGAATAAATAAATAATTTTAAATTTAACTATGGAAAATTTTACAAATTTTATGTTGATATTACATGGTATGAATTTGTACATAGTCAATAATAGAATATTTGTTAATCAGATTTTATAATATAGTGACAATATATGCACTAGCGTGTCTTTTATTTTTTCCCTTTGGTATTTTTATTGGACATTTTGGTCGTAAAATCTTACCTAATATCTGGTTTAATATACATTGGATCAATCAAGTATATATATATATATATATAAAATATTATT